CAGGTTAATAAAATGTACAAAAAATAACGATTAAATATATAAACAGGCAATTTAAAGACACGCAAACACACACACACAAAACAAACAAACAAACAAAATATACTGTTTATTATAATAACAATTATAAATATATTTTATATTGATGAAAGTCATGTATCCTTTTATTCCTGTGGATTTTTATTATTTTTGGTTAGAACAGTACAATGGGGAATTGGATGTCATACTCAACAACCAATATTTTCTTGATAAACAACAGGTTATGGTTCCTCCTTCACTAAGCACATTCATGAGATCTTTCCCCAAGTGAACACATCAGATCACCACAAATACTGGCATGACATAAGCCCTCAAAGCTTATAACAGGTAAATTCTAGAAATAACTTACAGTTGGATCAACCACACTATCCTAAAATGCTGTCCAAATTTCTTTGACAATTGTCTTTTCCTGTGGTGACCACATTTAGTACTGCTCATAGAACAATTTACTTGTTCAATAAATCCGAAATGTTAATCACTTTATCTTTGTATTGCAAGGTGTCTGTAAATAAAGATAGTTTTTTTTTTTTTTTTTGTCCTTGTTGGTTATACAATTTTAATGGCCAGCTGAGTATTTTCTTGACCTTCATTCATGCTTTTATTCTCTTATAATTTTCTTTTAATATATCTATAACCATACTTTATATAATGAATCCTCTTCATTCCCTTATTTCTAATCTATACATACATCTCAAATATAACAATTTTAATCATCACCTTTTTAATAAACTTTTTAAATTACTTTAACTGTCTCTATAATGATGGCCATCTTGATTACTTTAGTTAGTTTGCATGCTTTGCCATACTTAAAAAATGCATTTAAAAAGTGACATACGGTTTAGGTTTATTTGATGTTATTTTACCACCTTATAATCTTTATTTTTTTATCTGAAAATTTTAAAAAAACACACAATTTCTTTTCCTAAGAGATTCCCTTTTAGCTGCCGGTTCCCTTTATTCTGAGATTTCTTTCTTTCTGAAACAGTTAAAAAAATAAAGGGAATGATTTATATTTGAAGACACACCTATATTTTTATTATGCATTTTGCTAATGCATATGAACACATTTATCAACTAGCAACTGCTGTTTCTTAAATTCATAAATCCTAAATACTTAATTAAAAGGGAAAAGCAAATATTCATTCAGCTGTAAATTAGCTAAACACTTTTTACCCAAAATACATCATGAGGACACTACTCTGTGCATTCTGTAGAACTATCAAAGATGAAAAAGATGGCTATCAGTGATAGGTGCAAATAATGACAGCTTTCATCCAACATCTTTTGCTTATAAATCTTTTGGATACAATAAATGAAAGCGATTGAGAAAATACATGTAAAAAATACTTAAAAGGTTACTGAGCATTGCTTGAAATCAAGGCCTTCATCATGTAATGAAGATAACATACAACATGGTTATGCAAGGTCACCTAATTCTGATATTGGGTACACTGTGATATGCAAATGTGGATTTTTTACCTCCACATGAGCTTTAATTCATGCAGGTATTTATCTTGTCAATATTCATAACAGTAGAGTTCTAACTATGTGCTTTTATCTAGTCACCAAAGATGGTGTACTGCACTAATATGCAGCAATCTAACATTTAAAGTATCTTATGAAACTACACTTTTAATCATACTTCTGGTTGAAAAGACAATCATCTATAGCTTGATGCTTGAAAGAAGTTAATGGTTCAACATTTCCCTGTTTCATTTAGTTTCTACAGAGAATTATTAACTGAATAGTGTTGCTGTTATAAAAATTGCATAATCTAAAAAATATATAAATATACAGTTACGTACAAAAACTGGGAATAAGTTATCAGAAACCTTGTGGCTAGTAAATCTAAAATGACAATGTTTTACGACAGGAGTTATGCAACAAAAAATACTTGGTTAATTTTTTTGCATATGAAACTTGATTGAGTGACCTGGACCTCCCTCCCCCAGAAAAAGGGAAAATTCTTGTTTTGAGCAACCTTTCCATTCATAAAATTTCTATGAAGCTAGATTTATCAAGTTGTTGCTATCCCCTCCAAAGCCAGTCAATTACAGCCCCTTGACATAAGCAGCATTTGAAGCCCAGTATCAGAAACTGGTACAGATAACCACTTTCAACATAAATGCAAACAAGAAAACAAGATCAGTAAAACTGACATTTGCAACATTATTGATTTTACTCTGCTTCTGAAATTCACTAGATTCTACTGCAATTAAAAGCATTTCCTGAAAGTTGCCAAGTTCCAAGATCTAGAAAAATCCAAGAAAAGGAACACAGTGCAAAAAATCCCCCCCCAAATAAAACTATGTACTAATCCACTAATTAAAATACAACAATCCACTAATTAAAATAATCCTCTTTTAAATAACGCTTGTAATAAGAAATACATTTTAATCAATCCTTCAACTTTAATGCACTGAAAGTCGACTATAAAAAATTACTTATAAAACACATAAAAATATTATCACTATTCAGAACTGGAAGAACTATGTCTTTAAAAACATACACTATGACATATTGAATGTAACAAAGCTTAGTGTAAGAGCAGAGCTTAAATTGTCCTGCAGCCCACCTCCGGTACTCCTCAGTTTTCCAGACAAATTATCATTTCAGACGGGGTGCAACGGAGCCCTGAATAAAAGGGCTATGGCACTTCTTTTATATAAGTGAACCCACAATGTTTTTAGATAAATTTTGTTTTAATAGTAAACATGTCTTAAAAATCAATTCTAACTTCTGTATGCAGGCTTGTGTTTCCCTTGCACTCAAGCCTTACACAGAGGTTGAGATTTTTTAAAAAAGAAAAGCCCACAATCATATGTCAAAGATTTATTCTCCAGGATATGCAATGAATTTATAAAAGCAGGTAAATTTCGTACTTCCCCTCAAAGAACTAAAAGTGATAACCTGGTCATGCACATTCCATGCTAGAGACTTCCTACTGCAGAGCTCCTGTAGACTTTCTGAATGATATAACCAAATGGGGGGACCCACTGGTGTCAGTTGTACAGAGAAGTCTTACGTTTATTCTCACATTGTATTCAAGAAAATTTATTCAGGAAAAGTCTTTAGGGAAAATTTCTGCTTCACGGCTAGAATTAATTGACAGGGCATCGCGATCAGAAAGTCTTGAACTCTCGCTTCTTTATTTTCAAAGCTGCATTTTTCTGTTAAATTTCTTTGCATATCCCCATACTGTTTCTAGAATTTTCACTATTCTTCTTGTGCCACAAAAAACGAGTAATACCTGTCATCTCTTGTAATTAGTACATTACACATATAACCAGGGCTTAAACTCAGATGAAGTTTGGCTGAGCTGCTTCTTAGCATCTAAAAGGAATTGTAATTCCAGTAAATGGCCGAAAATAATACAAGGCCCGATACATTTTTCTATCTATCTATTCAATATTAATTTAATAATTTATTATTTAATTAATTTGATTAAATAAATTAAAAATCCTCTTATTTTAAATTTATTATATAATTATTTTAATTTTTAGCTATTTCATTCATTTATTGTTTTCTTTCCTTTTTCACAGTCTTCCATAGGTCTCCAACACTTCTAATTTCAAAATTTAAGCCCTGACAGAGTCTTCTTTTTGCGACAATTCTTAAACAAATCATTTTCTCTGTGAAACAACACTTTTCAACTTGCAGTTTAATGCAACAATGTGTTACAACCTGAAAGGCATTTTGATGAACAGTCAGCCATAGTAATCAGTGAAATACTGAATTATACTACAAACATTTTCCTGCGTTTATCATCCCTCCCCTGCCAAAAAGAACCCTAGAAAACAACTTTATCTAGGAATGTTAAAGATGTAAGTGCATTGATGAGATACCACAGAAAATCCTGCACATATTAAAAAAAGTTAAACTGACTTTACCCAGCCCCCCCCCCAATTTATTTATTTATTTATTTTGATGAATCTAAATTTATAGCATACTTAGATGAAAGCAACTACTTTAGAATTTATTTAAAAGTTACAATGTTGGCATACAAGCTACCGTGTATTTTCGTGCATAAGACAATAATTTTTGGAGCTTTTTCCAAACCTAAGTTATAGAGCTTGGTTTATATACTGCTAGTCTCGCCCAGAAAAAAGTGTACTTTTTCATTAGCTGGGTGCATGTGATAAATCACTAAATATTACACTTTTTACTTATTTAGTTCATATTTAATTTAGTTTATATAAAAAAATAATTTTAAATGAAATGAGAATAGTTTTATGAAAAAGAATTATTTTTATTTGTGAAACTTCATGTCTTATACTAAAATCAATCTGTCACATCTACAAGAGGACTTAAAATAAACACATAAGCTAATTTTATTATGCTGAATGAATTAAAAACTAATTCCTTAATTTAATTTCAATTGAATAGAATTAGATTATGTTTTGTTTCATATTGCTGAAAAAAAATTCCTCAATTTTAATACAGTTAAAAAAATTGTGCATATAAAAAATAAGTCCATTTAATTTTTTAGAAAATTTTTGTTAAATAAGAAGCACGTATATTTAGGGCAAAAATCTTTGTCCCTCCCCCCCCCAAAAAAGGCTGATTATCAGAGGCACAGAAAGTTTTATTAATCACAAAACTTTTGTTGAAATAAAACATGACAAACAATAAAATAAAATTCTTCCATTTGCAGTAAAATATCTGGCCTTCAAAAGACATTATTCAGATTTTGCCAATATCTATATGGGTTTTGATGCTGGTTTGATCCATACCTAAAATTCTTCAGTGTGTTTGTTCCATAGAATTTTAAGCTCATTTTTGAAAGACAACTCTAGAACACTTTCAGAGTTTTTGAAAATACACTACCTTTATGGCCCCTTTAACTGAAATGCATCCACAATAACACCCTCCCCTTGTTCATCAAAATTCATATAAATGAAGAAATTCAAATAACAAGCTATTTCAGTAAAATATAAATTTTAATCCTTAAACAAAATTCATACCTTGGAGGACATGACATACGCTGATGAATATGTCTAGAATCATAATCATATAAATTGCTTTCAAGATGTTCAGGATTATTGCCTTGGCTAATATGTATAGAACCATGTTCAGGGTGGTGAATAGGAGGGCCTTGTTCAGGGTGGTGAATAGGAGGACCTTGTTCGGGTTGATGAATGGGAGGATTATTTTCTAGATGATGCATGGCAGCCTCTTGCTCCAGACAATGCGCAGCAGGACCTTGTGTATGCGACATGGTAGGTACATATTCTGAATTATGCATAGCAGGGACCTGTTCCAGAGGATGTGTAGCAACAGCATGTTTTGCATGGTGTATAGCAGGCGCTTGCTCTGGATGATGATGAGCAGGGTGGTGTTGCATATAATGCAAGGCAGGCCCATGTTCTGATTGGTGCATTGTAGAACTATGTTCCAAGTTATGCCTGGTAATGCTATGTTCTGAATGATGAATGCCAGAGCCAGGTTCTAGATGAGGCAACAGAGCGCCACATTCTGAATGATGGATAGTATGCCCATGTTCTACATGATGCTTGACAGAACTGCATTCTGAATGATCCACAGCAAGCCTTGGTTCAGGATGATAAAGAGGAGGCACTCGTTCATGATGACTAGGATGTTCACCTTTAGAATGAAGAACAGGAGGCTCACGTTCAGGATGATATGTGGAAGGTTCATGACGATAAAGAGGTTTGTTTTCAGAATGATAAACAGGAGGTACACATTCGGTATGAACAAAGCCGCCATGTTTAGAATGATGAGAATCAGAACCACGTTTGGCCTGAAAGGCAGTAGAGCTATGTTCAAGATGATGTACAGCAGGAGCATGCTCATGATAGGGTGTAGATGAGCTATCTATAGGATGATGAGCTGAACTGTGTTCAGTATGCTGAATATCAGAACTGCAGTTATGTTCAGTATGCTGAACGGAAGAAACATGTTCAAGATGATCAGTATCATCAGCCTTTGGATGGTGATTACCAAGAAATCTGGAGTCTCTAAAAATGGAAAAAATTCATATATATAGGCATATATAATCTATTGTCATTTCTCTGTAATTTTAGTTCAATGATTACAGTTTACAGAAGTCAAATGGATAAGGCAACAGAATATTATCAGTTTAATCCTGGATTCAATACCTGGCTGATTCATATAAGTTTTGAAATCCATTAAAGTGCCTAAAAGAGCTAAACATATGCAATTCTTCCCACCATCTGTTCGTATTCACTAAATAAATTAACTGCATCAAATAATCAAAAAACAAACAAATTTTCTATAGAAATTACTCTGCAAAGGCATCTCTCTATTTATTAGTATCACTCGATTATTTAATTATTTTAAAGTACACTACAGAGATAGCTCTGAAATCAAGCAATCCAATTAAATAATAAAGCAATTCATTTTAGCCACTGAAAAATCTGGCCCAAAAAATTGAGTCAATGTTTACAGATCACATATTAACTTTTTCAGTGAACTGAGTTCAATATTACAAATTTTAAAACCATGACTATAAAACAGAAGGAAAGAACTGTTATTCAGTTCTGGACTAAAAAGGGTACTAATTGAAATCCATAAAAGACTAAGAAATATGTATGGCAAGAAAATAGCTGATGCAAGTAATGCACAAAAAAAGCATGGAAAACTTAGTTTGGTGGAAAATCATGAATGTAATGTAGAAAACTGCATAATGGATGTTCCATCAGCACATACCACTAATAAAAAATGTGATTGAGAGGCATGGTTCATGCAGACTAGTGTCACAGGATAGTTAACTGTAGATGCAGTGCTGATTAACAGATTATCTACAACTTTCAACATTAATAATTGCTAAATGAGTTTCTCACCAATTAACACTCCGTTCAAAACAGAAGAGACTGCATAAATGTTTGTAAGTGATGGTTATATTTGAAACAAATGAGAATAACACTTTCTTGCAGATACTTGCATTGCTATTCAGACCTATTAAATGATGATCTTCACAAAAGTTTGGCACACAAAAGTTCTACAGTGTGGCAGCACATAGGCTTTCCTAAAGAAATTTAAGAACCAGTGACAAGCATTCATATTTCTCTGATCCTGTCTTTGTCATGAAGGTTCACCAGCAGCCAAAAATGCAGCACCACTTATGCTGACTATTTTAATTAGCACCATGTATTAAATGAAATAATCTACACACAAAAGTCTAAGCTACAAGAGAGTTATACTCTGATAGGCATTACTTTCAGTTTCAAGTTTGAACATAACAGGTTTTTCAGCTGCAGCCCCTTCCCAATGTAGTAATGTCTGACGATTTAAAAAAAATAATAATAATTTGGAACAGAAAAATCAGGTTGTTAATAACAGAAAACAAAAGGAAAATGTTATGAATTAAACCCAAATACTTCATAAATATATGAAATAAAAATTTTTGGAAAAACCAGCTATGGCCACATTAAATAACAATGAAAACAGGAAAAAAATGTATAATGTTGAATTTAAATACGAACTGAAAATAATGTTATTTTTTGTTTGGTTTAATAATATCAGTTTTTAAAGCTTTTCTTTTTTAAAAATACTCACTGACAATAGATAATTGCTTTATTTTTAATTCAAATGTTATGCACTTGATATTTTACCATATGCCTCACCCAAAATGAAAATAAAAATTATGGTAAAGATAATGGCCGACAAAAACTGAATAATCAAAATAATTCATAGTTCAATTTTTATAAAAATTACAATTTATACTCATAATTACAATAAAACATAATTCTTTTGGCTCTATCCCAGACATCTGCTGCCTGTCACATATGCTATGATGCTCTACATAATTATTGTCCAAAGTTTGACAAGTCTGATTAAATTTTTAAAACATGCACAGTTTACAGCAAGGCTTAGCAAAACTTCTTCTCGTGGCACTTCACATAATAAAGTATCATAAAAGTTGCTATAGCACATCTTTATGCATATGATACCTGAATTATAGTTGCTTAGTTACTTAAGAAACTTGCATCAGGGTTCATAGCCACATTTTAGTTAAAAAAATAAGCACCTATAAGCACTTTTCAAGCACATTTTAAGAAAAAAATAAGCACCTGTCTAATTACATTATACACAACTACATAACCTTAAAAGAAAAATTAGACTTGTAATTTAAAATATGAGCAATGCAATATTTATTAAGAGGTGTGTGTGTGTGTGTGTGTAATTATGGCAAAAGCCTCGAGGGCTATCTCGCCTAAGGGGAGGGATGCCTTCATGGAGGACTTTCTAAAGGAAACTGGCTCGTATACACATTACACATGGGGAAAACCATGAAAACGCCCATGCAGCCAGCCCGTTCGCAGGATTCGAACCTCGGACCGAACTACCAGTGTTCAGCCACTTTACCGCTCGGCCGCTAGCGGGCATATTTATTAAGAGAATGAGCATTACCTCAACAATGGAAAACAATTAACTTTTTTTTTAAATTTTAAATGACAGTTCAATTTACAGAATTAGTTTACAATGAGAGGAAAAAAAAACTATGCAGAACTTAACTATATTACAAAATTTAATGATGATATTTCAGTTGAAAATATAGAAAATAAATAATAATAAGCCATATTAATTGTATTCGTTTGGCACCTAATAACAAATACAATTTATTTTTCCACTCATATTAATATTTAAATAATTTAACTTAAATCAAAATTCTGAACATTTTCTAAATTTTCACTGCATAACAGTTTTCCCTTAACATATATCCCAAGCAAAGTAATTTAAGTAGAAAAAAGGCACATTTCTGAAATCAGAAGACGGGAAATTGCTTCATTCAGTCATCCTTTAACAGTAAAAGCTTAACTAACCAGCATACTCGGAAATTCCCGAATTTTCCGGATAGTAACTGGAAAAAGAGGAGTGGGGGAGATTGTAGCCGTTCTTTAGATTTAAATTTAAGCTAAATAAATGATTTTGATATTTTGATATGTGCATCATACAAAAAAACCAATGGAACTGAGAAATATTCTGCTTAGAACGCACAGATTAAAACTCTTTTAAGTGTTCATAAACAAATCTCAGACTGAAACATCAAAATTAATAATCTCAATGCAAAATACCGCAAACGTTATTGCGTGCAATACGTGCGGCATGTAATTCTTCCATATGTGATATTTACGCAATCGGAATCAACACCTGCCAGTATTCGGAGAAAGAACTAAATAAAGGAAAAGAAAGAGACTTACTAATCCGGGGTGTTTCTGATTTTTATTTTCAACAGACTGTATTAAATTTCCGGAATAGAATCAATCTTCACTTGGGTTGGATAGACCACAAAAACTTTTAGTCCTATTCAATCCAGATTGGCCAGTGACAAAAAAAAAAAGTCCGCTGCTTCAATATTAGAGATTTTGCGGAGAAACTCCCAAACTCTGCACTGTATAATATATTGGCAAAGAAAATGAAATGATTTTGACTATTCGATTACTTTCCTTTTATTTAAGCCATTCCGAATATTATTCCTTAGAAAGCTAATCTGTGTAAAAACACACCCATTTTTGGAGGTTTATCTATACTTCAGCAGTTACTGCAATTATATTATTATAAATAATCATACATATGCTCATAATATAAGCATAACGATCATAATAAACACGAATATGAACTGACCACGCGGAACGAGAATGCAAATTTATTAAAATCTTGATAGAAATTCAAACGTGTGTAGTATTTGGGTGGGAGGAAAAGAATACCGAATGTACCGGAATTTTCTACATTTTCGCAATTCTTTGGCCAATAGAACGACGTGCACCTGTCTGTACACTCGCGCGCACCATGGGTTACGTTAATGCAGAGAAAGGGGAAAAAGCTATTTCCAGGAATATGATTCACCATCTGACGTTGCATATAAGGAAGAAAAGTTGTTTATTTAGTTTCGGCTTTGGTACGGGGAAAAAATGCGCGTTCATTAAAAACAAAGGATTAGAAAAAAAAGCACTAAAAGCAAAAAATAAGCACTAAAAACAAAAAAATAAGGGCTTTAAAGAAAAAGTAAGCACCTATAAGGGCCTTTATATTTTATTTTCCAATATAAGGACTTATAAGCACTTGTAAGGACCGCTACGAACCCTGTGCATTAAAATTTCAATATATAATAATAATATGCATTGCAATATAAAAAAATACATATTGTACATGTAGGTAAGTGATTAAACAAGTTATTAAAATTATAGAAAAATCTAATATGGAATGTTTGATTGATTATTATTGCATTTAGGCTGAAGATTTGCTTAAGTACTCTCCAATTTAAATAAAATTTTAATTCCAACCAGACTACATTAATATTTAATACTGCTTCATTTATCACTTAAACTATGTTGATTATAAAAGTTCTATGGTAATATTTTCTAACAATTAATTAAAAATTAAATATTAAAATATATTCATTATTAAAAACTAGTAAAATGAGTAAAATCATTATTAAAAACAAGTAACAATTATAAAAAAGTCATGTTTTTTATTATTATTGTTTGCTAACGATTATCAAAAATTAAACAAAAAAAAAAAGTTCCTCCAGGGGAAAAAAAAAAAAAACAAGAAAAATACTGAACAAAAAACTTTGATGAAAATGGATGCAAGCGGGAATAAATAAAAATAACAAATGCAAGCGGAAAGACAGTCAAAATTCAGTAGCAGAAATAAATGCAATGCTCTGAAAACTTTAGAAAAAGGTATAATATGTTTGCATTTTGCTTTTTTCATGAATATAACTGAACACAACTAAAACCATATTTATATATTTTTCATATATAAATGTTAATTATGACTTTTACACTAAAGGCTTTTCTAATCTGCACTGTATTCTACTAACTTCAAAATAACAAAGACATATGCAGTCAAAAATCCGGATTCGTCGGGACTTCGGCGATTCCGGATTATCAGTTTTTCCGGATTATAGATCATCAGTTTAAATCTGGTAAGATGGCATGCAGAAATTATAAAATTAAAAATATGAAACCATAATTTATGAAATAAAGAGCAATTATGATCTAAAGGGTATCAAAATTTACCAAAAAAAAGCTTAATATTTATTTGTTTACTTTATTAAACATTTCTTTCAATGCGCGCATGCATAAAGCATACATTACGCATAGTCAAAATTAGAAAATTGCAACCAGAAAACTATTTGATGTGTATTCGTGATATTTATCATTAGGAGGAATTTGATTAATCATTTCGAAGACAGAGTACATCGAGATGAAATACTACATTTAGTAAAAAATTATAAGCCAAATAAAAACATCTGCCCTGAAGATAAGGATAGTGCTGACAGATCAACTTTTAGTTAATTGCACGGTGCAACATCCCCCCCCCCCCGCAGAGCAGCGTTAAATTGATAAACAGATTTCGGAATGGTTAGGCCCATATCACACGCCATTTGTTTCACGCAAACAACTGTTTTGGACAATTTTTCTGCCTGCTTTACTATTGAAAGAAAGACGTGTGATTTTTTCCTTCCTTTCCAAAAAAATTGCAGGTTGTTCTTTTTCAACCAATCAGCTATCAGCTTGTTTGTAGTGGGGAACCACTTTCCCTTACGTTAACCCCAAAGCTATCTATTTTGATTGGCTGTTGTGACAAAGCAGAAAAATTGTTCCAAACAGTTGTTCTTCCAAAACAAACCGACGTGTGATAGCAGCCTTAGAGAAACAAAGGATATGCCTTTATCTCTTTTTTGCAGCAATTCCACTTTTTGTTTGATGGACATCGAAACATGCTTTTGCTTTGTAGATCTTTTGGCAGCTCCAGAATCGGAAAATCTTTTTGAAATAATCGAAAGTTCAAGCTTACTTTTATAAAATTGCTCTAACAGTCTGCAAAAAATAATAAGCCGGATCCAATTAGAAGATTAAGGAACAACGCAATCTGCAACATTAACTGAAATAGATAATTAGATAATTTTAGCTTGGCTTATACCGTCTGTTATACATTAAACGCGCATGCGTAAAGGTATTATGAGCATGCGTAAATGCATAATGTGTTTACGCATGTGCAGAAAGTTTGTAGCTTTGAGGTTTGGATTATAGATCATTCCGGATTATGGACGTCTGGATTAAAGACTTTTGACTGTACAATTAAACAGAACATTCATGAAATAATTCATTCATAAATTTCAGATGATTGCTACAGAATAATTAGATGTAAATTGAGATTCAAATTTCATATAAAAGTATGGCTTACCTACAGCATACTTTTTCTTAAATCTAAGAATTCTAAAAAAGGTTTTGAAGAAAGTTACATGTAAAAATTATTGTAGATTCTAAATCTAATACTTCAGTTTTTAACAAAGTAAGTATTCTCCCACAAAATACTATATGGAAAATATAATTCAGTAGGTGGTGTATGATATTTATTTTCTTAGAACACTCTACTATACAAAATAGAAGGAAGGGTCCAATACATATACCTATAATCCTTGTGTGCCCAGTTTACTTTATCTGATTGCTCATAGGGCTGGTTGTTTTCCCACTTATGATGAGGTTTTGTATTGTGTAGATTTTCACTTAATTTTACATCAGAGTAAGAAGGAGGCTCTTTCCATCCATGAACTGAAGACACATCATCAAATTCCATTTGCTGTCTATCTAGGTGGTCAACTGAAACCTGAAAAAATAAGTCTTCATGTTATTATTTCACACATAAAACATTTACATTTCCTCAATATTGCAGTCTTTTTTATCAACTTCAATTGTTTTAAAACGATGACTGAACATTACATCAAAATGAAAGTGCAATATGCCACTGTGAAAAATCTACCATATTCCCATTATAACTTATATCATTCATTTACAATGTTCCTCAGTTCCTATAATACGTTTTAGCAAAATATTTGATTTCTAGATTTTCCCCACTGTATTATAACAATAATTACACTGGCAATATTTTAAAGTCATCGAAAACTTGTGGATTCTTTTTAGTGGTCAATTATAATTTTCTATTAACATTATATCACTGTTTACTAACATTCCAGATAAAGGATCATTAAAACATCTTGAACAAGACTTTGAGAAGTCCGTTTCACAAACACTGAAATTGAAGAATTAATTTTTCACTCATTACAGTTGGGTTCAGCCAGGCACATTTTGTTTTCCGAAATAATTACTTTTCACAAATTCAAAGACTAGTTATGGGTAAGTTCAGACCAACATGTTAACTTACATATATGCTATTCTAAGGCCAAATTATTTTAACTATCGTTTGAGCTCTGGATTTACAACATATATAACATATTTACACTTTTTGATAGTCATAAAGATGATTTAACTAAGATTTTGTCAGTAGTGAATCCAACTATTCAGGTTATATTTTAAAATGATAATCCCCTTGTTTTATAAGATGTTCTAATCATATGCAATGAATTTGATTGCAGCAGTACTAGTTACCATAATTTTTGTTTTCCCTCCCTCCACCTTTGGCCTTGTAACCCTGCTAAAAAAGAATGGTTCCTTTTAAATCTTAAGCTCTTAAAATTTGTTTTCAGGATCTCTGCTTTTTTAGGAACTCAATTCTTTGAAATGGTTGCCATTACGAGAGGACTTGGAAGCCACCAAAAAAATTTTCATCTCTGCATCAAAAGAGACATTCTGCTATAATATAAACTTTGTTGTTATTCCCTCTTTCTACAGTTAAAAACTGCTCAGATTTTCCTGAAATTAATTTTTCAGGATTTCTCCTCTACCAGAAAATTCTGTTCAGTTAAGCAGTGACACTAAAATTTCCAATTAAATTCATTATGTCTACTTGGAGATTTAATATACAGTAGGCACCATTTAATGTCATTCATGTTTGTCCACAACTATTTTGATAACATTAACTGAACATAAATGATTAAAAAAAATTTCAATATATTTTAATTAAATTGAACTAATTTAATATAAATATAACTAAAAATATATAAACAGGTACTTCCTCAACATTTTACTTAGAAAAATGCAAATGTTTCTTTATGAACTATTCATAATATATTTAATGTGAAAGTTCATTATAAAATGTTTATAATGTTTTTGGAAATTACCGTATTTGACGGCATATAAGACGCACTTTTTTTCCTAAATTTGGTTTCAAAAAAGTTGCCTGCAACTTATACATGAAGGACACAGGTTAACTTTCAATACTGAATGCTATTTTTAGCCCAGATAAAGGTCTAGACACACATAACTTTTTCTACATCTACATGTGTGTGGCCTTCTAAATAAGGGTGCGCCTTATATGCCAGTGCATCTTATATGCCGTCAAATATGGTATTTGACCAATGCTGTCTATAACTCCTAATCTTAATATTTGGACAGAATTCTTCAATGAAAGAGTAAATAAGAATGTAAAATTTAAAATAAAGCAAACCTTAGTCTGGTGTAGATGTTAGGGAAATTATTTTGCTCTTGAAGAAGAGGGACCTGCATCTGATCTCCTTCAAAATAAATAAAGGTATTCAAAATCTATATCAAACAAAGGTTGCTTTTTTGCTTAATTTTGTACAGTTGACAGAAATAAAAGCCAAACTGTTTGGTGACTAAATCCCTTACTTGACAACATTTCTCTAACATTTGGCAGTTTGTATTATCCATTATTACTTTATTTGGCGATTTGTTATAAAAAATTATGTATTACCCAAATTTCTGATCACAAGAAGTGATGACTATGTTGATCATATTAATGATCATATTAACACATTAAAGGCGGGGGATCTTGACGAATGTATGCTAGGTAATGCGGCAACTACTTCGCCTCATTTTTTGTCCTAGAGCGGGCAATATTTTGTGTAATCATAAAAAATTTAGACTTAAAAAGTTAATTTAAACTCTTAAAACTACAAGAAATATTAAAAAAGAACTAAACACTAATTACAAAAAATGTTTTAAAGTATGTACATATTTATGAGAATAATCTAGTATATTTTATGAGTGTGATAATGTTGATAACACTTGCCACGGTGAAGAGGCACATTGTAAAACTCACATTTGAAGCAAGTCAACTTTCTTTTTTAATAAGCTGCACAAACTATGCAGTTTCGTTGGGCATATAGCTTTTTGCCTAGCAAAATATGCTTTGCCTTTATTGCCACTGCCAACAAAAATTAGAAAATTGCAACCAGAAAACTATTTGACGTGTATTCGTGATATTTATAATGACGAGCAATTTGATTTAAATCATATCAAAGACGGAGTACATCGAGATGAAATACTACATTTAGTAAGAAATTATAAGCCAAATAAAAAATAAAAACATCTGCCCTGAAGATAAGGAAAGTGCTGACGGATCTACTTCCAGTTCATTGCACGCCACAACGTTCCCTCCTACCCCGCCGCAGAGCAGCATGAAATTTGTGCTTTTTGATGTCTAGAGAAAGACATCCAGGCGGATCAATTTTATATCATGGAGTCTGTGGTGCCGAGTTCGATGTACCAGATTGTGGCTCTTCAATGTTCATCAAATCATCTGCAAACATATCTTTATTTTCACGTGAAACCATATTGAAGTATTTCAAAATTTAATGTAAGTAGAATTTGAACAACCGAACAGCTTCCAACCACAAAACATACTAAATACAAATGTAAAGTGGCGCATGCATTGCACAATGTGGTTGCAAACCACATTGCGCAATACATGCAAGATAAATGCGAAAGCTGCAGTCGAGATAACTCGTAGTACTATGTCTCCCGCCTTTCAGCTACAGTCGAGATAAATCGTAGTACTACGACTCCTGCCTTTAAGCTAGAGTCGAGATGAATCGTAGTACTACGACTCCTGCCTTTTATATGTTAACCAAATTTGTGGTCACAAGAAGCGACGAACTTTCTATGTTTTCGTATACAGATGGGTGGAACTTCAGAAATTTGATAACAATACCCTAATAACAACATTAATTAAAATAATATTAAGCAGCATCTACTACATTTCCTTTTTAAAACATTTTTGTACTTAATATTTTTGGGTGACACAACACATTCTTGTATCATGCAATACACATTTCCGTAATATCATGATTTGCTAACTAATGTCATGAAATGCATTCATAACATTGAAAGGTTTGCCATTTTTAAAAAATACTTGAAGCGAGATATGTATTTAAAATTTCTAACATCAGTTAAAAACATTTTAAAACATTGATTTTTTTTTTTAAAAATTACTTTTTCAATGTTATGAATACATGAAATGCATTCATAACATTGAAAGGTTTGCCATTTTTAAAAAATACTTGAAGCGAGATATGTATTTAAAATTTCTAACATCAGTTAAAAACATTTTAAAACATTGATTTTTTTTTTTAAGCGCACACCAGTCAAACAGCAAAAATTACTTTACTCTCACAAGCATCAGCATGTGAGAATGATGTTTTTGCATAGGATAATTTCACTCATATCTCTGATTTGCATGTTTTCAGCACAGTAATTTTCACTGTTGCAAATAACAGAAAACGCAATCTGTGGGGGGTCTCCAAATATGAAGAAAACTTTATGATCCATGCATTAAACTTTAATTAATGTGACTGCAATGAATAAGTATTTATGTAATTAATATTTTTGTAAGCTGCTTAGCAGTATATACAGAAGAAAATAAAAGTGAAAACTAAAAACATGAAAAAAATTAATATTTTTAAGAGAAGTGCAGAAAAGTAAGGACAAATACTGAAATTAGTACATTAACTACATAAATATTTATTGCCAAAGTGCAGCAGCATACCTTACAGGAAAATTTTTCTGTAGCTGATTTGCATCAATATTGCACACTTTTTTAAAATATAAATGACATTTGGAATAAAACCAGGCTGCTCCAGCTATGAAATATTTAATAATTTTAATAAAAATGAAAAAAGTGGCTTTCAGAGTCAGTAAAAAAATGCAAATAAATTCTATGCATATTTAAATTTAACTTTTCTTTTTAAGAAAGAACATTTTGCATATTTAATAATTTCCTAACATATGTATTTTAAAATCTGATGTACTTTGAAGTGCATAGTTTTAATGTCAAATTCAGTAATATCAAACTAAATCCTAACTTTATTTTGTTTACAAATTTCAAAAATTTCAAAAATAAAGAAACTGATTATAACTTTTCCATCCTTAATGACATTTCCTTAAAATAGAGATTCTATGTAAAAGAAATAATTACATAACATTTGAAAATTATATTTTGCATACAGTAAAATGATAAAATAGTTATAACATTAAATACCTGTCCAATTTCTCTCTTGTTTAAGTTTCTCTTAACATCAGATAAATCTGTTTTATCTTCATTCCAGTTTTCATAATTACCACTGGCATGATCACTCCATATTTTTGGCTGACTCATTGTATTAGCTGCTTCATTTAAAGGGGGAATTTTCCTCCAATCAACATCCTTCATATCATTATCACTAGGTATATTGTCCTGTAACATTTTCATATTTTCTGGCTTAATACGCATATCAACATCTTGAAGTACTGAACCAGTTGAAGATTCTGAAAACTGATATTTGGTTTCCATTTTAGAATCCGAAAATTCAGATTTCTTATGCAAAGGGTTGTTTCCACCTTGAGTTTTTGCAAATAATTCATACTCTGGTTTATCACCAACAACAACCTGAGGTGGTGGGCCGCTGAGACGAATGTTATAAATCTGGCCATCATCCAGCCTAGCTTCAAACGGTGGACCGCCAAATTTTGCTTCATAAGGATAATCATTAATGTATATTTCTCTAGCTGGAGTACCAAACTTCATACTATGCCGTTTTCCATTTACTTCAAACTCAACTGGTTTTCCATCAAATCCCAGGATTATTGGCTCTGCCTACATAACAGATAATTAATAATAAAACTCACAGAATCCATAGTTCATATCAAAATATATTTAACAGACCTACTGAAAACATTAATTTCCTGTTCAGATTAGGGTATGATCAAGTAAATACTAAAAATTATATACAAATGTCATTTGTTTTGCTTATTGCATTTATTCAAACAGAGTTAAGTATTTTCCCTGAGAAATAAGAGTATAAAATAAGCATTATTTTACACAAAATGTATGAGAGAAAATAATTATGCATTAATTATATCTATCAAACTAAAAAGCATATAAGACATAAAAACATTAATAATAAAAGTAACATAACTCATGGTTTGTATCAAAATACGATTAACAATCCTTCTGAAAACATTAAGTTCTGATTCAATTAAGATCAAGTAAATATAAAAAAATTATGTACAAATTTTCATTTGTTTTTCTCATTGCTTTTAATAAAACAGAATTTTATACATTTTCTAAGATAAAAAACAAATAATAGGAATAATAATATATTAACAGTTTGAACAGATAATGCATGAGAAAATACCTAAGTAAGTGGCTGCAAAATTTTAGGAACAATTTCTATGGCAGAGACCCTTTAGAATTATCTGTCTTAGAAGTTAACCCTTAGCACTCAGACTTTTTCTTGCCTAAAGCTTTCAGCAGCTCTGACTTGTTTTGGCCATATCTGGCTATGTGATTTCTTTGAAGGCAAAATTTGCATATGAAATTTGAAAGGCAAGATATTTTTAATGTTATTTTGTTATTATCATAATGTGAACATTTTCTAAATAAACACTTTAATTTTAAATTATTTGTAATTTTCAAGTGTATGATACCTCTTAAAGCAATTAGCATCACTTTAAGTAGAATCACTATAATGCAATACTTTCTCTTTTCTTTACTAGTAGAATAATGTCGCTATCATCAGAATCACTTTCATATTCATCCACACTAAATTCACCATTACTGCTATCTTGAAACAATGCTTCTTCCATCACATTTTTGCCATGGCATACAGCATTTTTTATGTTTAGTGTACAAACGACTAAATATTAGGATCAATGAAGCATTAAATCCCATGCAACTAAAATTTAGCTGTAAATTGCAATCGCATATCTTCAGTGCAGTATATTGTTGGTGTGCCTGAGAAACACACTTCAAGTACACTCACAGGCACTTGTACTTCAAGAGAAAGGGGTTAATGGTGTACAATGTCATGGGAGTAGAAAGAGGAACGTGAAAGTACAGAAACTGTAAAGAGCTATCTAAGCAATTTCAAACATTCCATACAAAAAATTTCATTCAAAGCTAAATAAACTAAACCATTTGCATAACAGATTTTATGTTATTGATGTGAGCAACAATAAAAAGAATATGCTAAATTTCTCCCATTTCATGACTTGTTATGCAAATTTTTTAATTACTCATTATAGAAGAAATTTCAATAAAATTCTGCGATGCATAGTGCAAATAGAACACACTATAGAGCAAGAACAGCTTTTAGTACATAGCACAAAATACCACATAAGCATGAGAAAGATATCTGATATATTCAGGCAGGATAGTGGTCAGTGATCCTGACTGATTTTTATTATTTATCATAGAAGAAATTTGAATTAAATTTTGCGATGTATAGTGCAAATAGAACACACTATAGAGCAAGAACAGCTTTAGTACATAACACAAAATACCACATAAGAATGAAAAAGATATCTGATATATTCAGGCAGGATAGTGGTTAGTGATCCTGACTGCCATACCAATAGGCCTAGGTTCGAATCCTGGAGAAAGCATGCGTGTTTGTAAACATATAGTGTCTGGTCAACATACGGACAATCAAACTATATCGTAAGCCATATGTCCTCTTGGGACCCCGGGTGCTCTTTCAAAATTGGGGCAGAACTGGGGCAGTCACACTTCACCTATAATGTTGTTCAAAGCTCATACCAAGGCCAGATGCAATCTTGCACTCCTTGCCATGATAAAATTCATGGGCATTCTGATTAGGTCAGACAAAATTTTGGCAAACATGAACCTTTAGTCAATAAGAAATGTCAAATCTATTGAAGACCTCATATTCCTCTGATTTTAAGCAGGGCAAATTTTTGTTCATGCCAAACACATTCAGTTTTCATTTAAAGTCATCAAGCACTTTCTTTTGTTGTCTTTGAAAATTATTTGTAACAAATCTTCAAAAGCTTTGCCTAAGCGTTTCTCTGTATTTATTTACGAGGAAGGCTACTGGTATCTTTCGTTTTCCTGCACACGTTTATGTAAGTTTCTTGTTAAAAGATGACATCTTAACATTAACATAAATCATGCCTTTTTTTTTTTTGTTGCAAGGAGATTCATTTTGCTCTGCTTGTTAAGCATTTCAACCAAATATTCCAATTTCCTCACCATTACATTACCAGTAGAGTGTAATGATCTATCAAAAATGCTGCTACCTGTTCATGCAATTCCATCAAAAATGTTGCTACCCCTGTATGCAGTTTATCAAGTATGACAAAGCTTTTCCTTGACTGAATAATGTAACTTTTTCTATTAAAAATGCATTGCAGTAGTTAAGGATTCAAATGTATGAGAATACATAATACTTCATTAACTAATGTTTATTAATTTCATAAATAATCTCACAAAGTTAAACATATTGTGGCTAAAATATCATGGAGTTTTCACTATTAAATTCAATGTGCAGTGACTCTAAATCAACTAGTTAGCCTCTATTTATTTAGAAAAACATCAAGTGGACTCTAAGAATTTTCAAATGTTGGAGAAAGAGTGTGAAATTTCTCAACTACTGCATGTACATTTCGAAGAAATGACTCAGACATTTACTTCCACAAAAGGCTATCAAAAACGCAACAAGCAAAAAAACTGCCATCAATAATTTTCAAATTAGTATTACAAATGTATTACTGCTATAGAAATGCAAAATTGGTAGATTTCTGTTCAACGTGTAATTTTCTAGCTTTCTTATTTTATTTCTATTTTTTGTCTCTTACTCTTTTATTCCTTTCAATTCCCCCCCCCCTACAGCAGCCACAGAGCCCCTGAAAAGTTCATATAGAGTTCTTAAGAGATCCAGGAAACACAATTTTGGAACTGCAGAGCTACCAAACTAATAAAAAAATTAGAATTTCCTCACTATTTTTCTTTGCTACAGTAAAATAATTAAATGAAAACTGGAATCAAATTTTTGCACAATCTGTAAATGAATTTTTTCACAGAACTATTCCTAACATTGTACTCTTGCAGAAAGGTGTAATGTGCCTTCTATGACTATTTTTTTGCTGTTTAAATATATGGTCATGTCCAAATTTAACCTTACATATCCAATAATAATGATATTTCACAAATCCAATCAATGTAATCCATTTTTGCATGAAATGCGTGAAAGACAAGCCTAATTGGCATAACCCAATCAAATGGTTTCTGATATGCAAATCAAGGTGTTATGTCATCCGATACTGAATTCTTTGAGCACAGCAAACCACTGTACTTCGTGCAAAGTGAATATCTCAGTGAAATTCTGCAATATAGCACGTAATTTAAGTGAGTAAGAACTTAAAATGGTTTGTTATGGCTCTAAAGTATCATTCCAAAGAATATGTTAAGTGGAGAATCATTGGCTGAAAGAGAAATAATTTAGGCTGTGAAAGCAGTAAGATGTGTTAATATTTCAAGACAGTCTCTACACCATGGAAACAATTTCAAAATGGAAATGATGTAAGGAGGACAGGACAAGGTCATAAACAAATAACAGGTGCTTCTTTTAAGGATTGATGTCTGGCAATAACTGCCTTTCATTACAGGGAGACCATTGCTTGGCAGTTCAATTCAGAGCTTGCAGCTGCCACTGTTGTATAACGGCACACTATATTTAGAAGGCTGAAAGAAAAAGGCTGTTATACCAAAAAAAGGCTAACAGTATATGTTTCACTGTTATCACAACAAATGAGGGATCAACTTAATTGATGCAAAAAACATCAAAACTAGACTGAACACCAATGATCCACTGTTCTCATTACTGATGATTCAAGATTTAGTTTAACATCCGATTCAGAGCATGTTTACATTTGGACGGAGTCACGAATGCAAAATCTTTCTTTGATATTACAGAACACGACCGTTTCAATGATGGCAGTATGACTGTATGGGGAGGAATAACAGTTGGAGGATGTAGGCCCCTACACATTTTCAACAACAGATCTGTGACCTGCCAGAGATACCAGTATGAGGTCTTAAAACCTAACATAAGACTTTTGGAAGGCATACATGGATTCGATTCTTTATTTATGGACAGTAATGCTTGTACACATCGAGCAAACACCGTTCACAAATTTCTTGAAAGTGAAGACATTGAATGAATACCTAGGCCAGCAAAATCTCCTGACCCTAACCTAACAAAGAACTTACAGGATTACCTTGGAAAAGCAGTTGCATGGAAACATCCTCCTCTGAGAGGTGCGAGCCCTGATGATTGCATTGCTGGAGAAGTGGTGCTTAATTCCTCAAGCTATGGTTAACAACATTATTGCCAGCATGAAAAGAAGTTGTGATATGTGTGTACAAGTCAGGGGAGATCACATTCCACGGTTACAGCCAAAAACATCGTGGACAAATACGTCGCAGAGAAAACAATGCAAGGAGAAAACGTTGGAGTACAAAACATCGCAGTTTTAAAATATCATGGGAGAAAACAAAGTGCTTCAAAAACTTTGCAGATTAAAAACAGCATCATAGAAAATATCGCGGTAAAAAATAAAGTACAAATCATCGTATACATGCATTTTTCAAATCAGATATTATGTAACTGACTTTCGTCATAACTAACAAATTGACATCCAAAATATTGATTGCATGCTATACAAGAAAATCAGGGAAGATCACACACTTTAAAATCAAAAGACTGGATTTTTTCAGTTATTCTTTTCTTTCTTTCTTTTTCTTCTTCCTTTTTTTTTTCTCCTGAACTCTTCATGTAACAGATTATTACCATT